GAGAATTTACCATCAATAGTGCAGGAATGTTTTTATTTCTTTAGTAGTCTAGAGACATACAGCTATGTATGTTCTTCAGTACGAGGGAGTACGCGTCCTGCTCTTGGCTTTCGTTCTTCCACATGTGCGATCTTATGTTGCCAAGGGATCAGGCACTACCAGTACAGCACTTTTGCGGCGCATACACACACTCGATACCAGCAATATCAATTCCGTGTGTCCATCGCTGGATTTTAACATTTTTCCATCCATATTGAATGTCCTGAACTGTCCTTGAGAACCTCACTTTACTACGTAAAAGTTCACAGGACTCGGTTCGCATCGTGTGCCCCTTAAGAGCTGCGCATGCGAATTACGCTGGTGAGCGGACGCTGAATAAATTGAGTACGACTACCTTCGCCAGATATGATAATGGGTCTGTTTATCACTCGTTCAAAATGGTCTTTTCTTCAAGTTCAGAAGCACTTACCGACGCCCGAGTTGCTAGATGACCATGCAGGAGAGGGGCGCGGTGGTCATCGCTGCCAATGGGACCCCCAGACATTCGCAGCTGTGAGTGGATCTGCGATGCGCTACGCCTCATCCTTGACTGTGGCCAGCTGCTTAAGCGAATGCGACAGAAACGAAATCTCGATTCCATCTTTGCACCTTGATGCCCTGAATACATTATCCTGGTCTCGTGCCACCAATGAATCACGTGGACCATGCGTATTGCCCGGCCTGGGTTACGTCTCCAGCTGGTACAGAAGGCGACCTCCAAGTTGCCGCGCAATTTTTCCAGGGTCTACTGTATACGCTATCTTCCTCTCCTGTTGAAGCCTGAAGCGATGGACATGTTCCCATGAGGGTGGTCGACTCGTCCAGTGTGGCCAATCACACACCAACCTGATATCTTCGAATGGGTGCCGGCTGACCTCGATCATCATGCGGAACCAGCCACAGACTGAACTGCGCCACCGTCACATTGAATTCTATAGCTCCATGCCTCATCGGTGCACTGGTCGCCTTTGAAGTTCAGCAATTTGTTGTAGGAAGCCAAGTACTGATAGTTTAATTCAATATTTGGCTTTCATGAATGTTCATGTGTCGATTGTTAACCTCTTAAAGAGGTAGCGTAATGAAAAGATGGAAGTATTTATGCATCGATTCGGGAGGATTCTCATCCACCAACATTGCGCAGACCAAGATCACCACTTCCAATAGCTTACCAGCCACACAAACCTTAAAGTCACCATTTATGCTCGAGCCATCCATGGTACATGCAACACTTATTATCGGAGATGTGCCTGATTGTTGATATATGTGTGCTCAATAATCATTTGATGAGATCAAAATTTCTTCTCTTCCTCATCAACCTCAACGAGGGCCTTTCAAAACAGAAGTCCACATCTCACCGCACCACATCCGCTGGACCTGCTCTTCGACATGACTTCCTTTTCTCTACCTACAAATATCAGGAAGGGTGAGAACGCTTTATTCGAAATGGCATGGACTATGAAGGTTCTCATGGACAAGGTCTCACGATTGGAGGAAGAGGAAATCGGTGAACGAAAAGTCGACAGAAAACAAATACCAGCGAAGAGGCCCAGCAATGTCAAGTACGGTGCAAAGACAGAGGAGAGGGCGGCGAAACGTGCCAAAGTATCCGACATCCATGAGCAGAGCGACGACGAGAATGCCTGGAGAGCCAGCCCAGACACGATGGTTCTGGATAGCCGCATCAGTGGCAATTCTTCGGAGTACCTCATGGCCGCATGCCGACGCTGGCATACCGTCTATCAAATATCAAAGGGACGCGAAATTAGAGCGGTAGATCCCACGTCGATGGATATAACAGCACCCATCGGATTATGCATATGTGGTGCTTCACTCGAGACCAAGCCGACGGCGCAACGCAAACCAAACAGCCACGTAACGACATGCATCCCGCAGGTAATAATCAGGTCACGAATATAAGATGTCCAAGTAATTAGCGGCGTGCTCAGAAGTATACTTCCTTCTTTCGATGAGATACAGTACTTTTGTTTCAGACTTCAAGAACGAAAGTTGTATCCCGAGCCTCCTCGCTACGATGCCACTTAACCGCACCCTCCCGGTGAAGACAATCGCTTTCAAGTCTGCGCTTCGATGAATGCATGCGACTGTACCACAGCGCTGTCGGAGGGGGACTTGCCCTGACATTAGGGGTTGTTTGGCGGCGAGCGCATTCATGTTCGTCAGCCCTTGTGTTGGGTTCGTCAACCCTTACGGTCATTTTCCTGCTTCAAGACGGGAGAGCCATCAGGCCTCTCAGCTCTTGTGACTAGCTTAACAAGCTGGATGATTCCAGTTCACTGGCCAACTTCACTGTAAGTGCACTCTGCTATCTTCTTGATTTTCAATCGATAATGAGAGGGGAATCTAACACGTAATGATGTTGTTTAGCCAATATATAGTCCAACATTGGCATTGATCGATGGAATAATTGGCGCAATGCCCTTTTTAGGACCGGTACTTCGTGTTTCTTGAGCCGGTTCCCGAAGCCAAGATGCGTGAATTGGCGTGACATCCGGGCCTACTTGTCCAGGCGGGGTGAATTTCTTTCCGAGATAAGTGATCTCTTGCGACGAGGCACTTGCATCGTCGATTGTGTATGGTTTTCGCGATGAGACGCGTTGGACAATTATGACCGCAGTCCACTATCTCCATGCCGTGCGTCATGCCTGTTCTGCTCAGCGACGCATCCCCGGGACTGCATATACGCTGCGCGAATCGCTATGCACGCAGACTTTTCAAATTTCTAGTTTCGACTTTCAAATAAACTTCGTTCTTCTCAAGCGACGATCCGCCCTCTGTGTTCATTCCGCCCTCTCTGCGGCTTACTTCCATCCCCCCCACGCCCGGCGATGGACCTTGGCTGAGCTTTCCTACTTCGCCTTTGCCTCCGGCCCCCATCATCAGTAGCCTGCGGCAGTGCCACTTCCAAGTAGACAACCTTACTTGGCTACGACGCAGTCACACTTTCGCTTGCAGTGGTTAATCTTGGATCTCAGGCTCGTTCATGGGCCTTTCATCCATACCTTTAGCCGCTGTTGATAGAGAGTGGATGAGCCGCCAAGGGACGAAGATGTCCGTGGTTTGCGGACTTTCGTCTGCCCTTCCCCTCATACCCAGAGAGTTCCAGCTCCTGGATCGCCTTCGTATCGACGCATCTACAGGCTGCAGCGCGGCGGCCGTTCCAGACCCCTGCTCGTTCCAATGAAGATGGTCCGCTTCTTCACCTTCGTAAGCAGTAGGGCGCAGTTGCCGCCGCTGATCAGGCCATGGGTACTGCGCCCGATAATCCTTGCCTGGGTCGCGCACGCTAGGTCAGACCATGGACTGGATCCGTTGTCGCCCGTGGCACCGAAGAGAGAGTCGCCCCCAATTATGTTTGCTCACACTACTACACAGGCAAAGTTGCAGTTTCCGCCAGGATGTCTCTTTTCTCTCTGGTCCCCATCCAGATTCATGCCGGCCCGGCCCGGTTCAGCCAAGGCGAACTTGTAGCAGAATTTGATCAAGAGGGTCGATCTACGCCAAACAAATTTCAGGTTTAGCCGCAGGCCCTACCGGGCCACGATTTATCTCTCACAACATATGCATTCGTTCCAGCATCTCTCCTTTCACAACGCCTGCAAAGCGACGTGGCTCCATCTCGGACTTGAGGAGTCATATCAGCCCATACAACGGGTTGATGAACAGGCTCAATGAAGTGAGATGGCGTTGAATGTGAAATGGTTCCAAGGATCTCTCATGCACTCCTCCCCAACAGAACACCGCCCACCTACGTTGGTATTAATGCGATAGTAGTGGGGCCTACAGGTCGACGACTTCGTGCTATGTTTCATTTTGTGAAGAATTCTTTTGTGAATTTTTATATAACTAGGGATATATAAGAGGTCCCCCTTACTCTAACTACCCCCTATATATTTAGTAAACTACTTTTATTAACTACTACTCTATTAAACTATAGTACTACTTTAAGTTCTACTAATAAGCTCTCTTATTTTAAATAGTTTAATTAATTTATCTTATAATATTAATTATTAATTATTTTATTATTTTTAAATATTTTAGTAATATTTTTAAACTTATTAAATATTTTAAAAAAAAATAGATTATTATAGCTATATTAGTAGAGGATAATATATACTAATAAGTAATAGAAGAATAATACTTCTTTAAATTTATTATAGTTCTAAAAAAAAAATATTTATTTTAAAATTTATAGATATTATCCTCTTTTTCTCTAATAAACTAAATAAAACTATTATTATTTTTAAAGTAGTAGTTATAGAAATAATAAATATAGTATTATTTTAGTATTTTAGTATAATAAGTTATAGTAATATAAAGAAAGAGATATTTACTCCTTAGTAATTTACGCTCTTTTTATATACCCCTTTAAGTAGCTATAGAAGTTTCTCTATAAACTATCCTAGCTTTTAAATATTTCCCTATAAGAGTTATATAGTAGTTAATAAAGTGCGCCTCTAGGCGGTAAACTACGAAGAAAAAAGTTAGAAGGGAAGAAAGATTCGTGCTATGTTTCTGCCGAAAGCTCGCATATTGCTGGTTTTAATATTGAAAATCAAGAGCTGACATGCGGTTGGCCTAATAGTTCGACGCTGTGTCACCTTCTCCTCATTCAACTGACGACTAGCAGTCGCAGCTTTTGCATCAAGGTGGGCTTTAATATGCCACGCTGAGCGCAACAGATAAGACTGCCTAGCAGAGAAACATCCGCTGTCGGCAAATGATACTGAGACAAAATGAACGTGGAGGAAAATGAGTTTTCAGCAGCTTGGGCTCCCACAGGTGGGTGAAGCCGAGCCGAGCATCGTTTTCTTCGACGCTGCTCTTTCTACAATTGTCCATGAACTAGCTTCAGCGATACATAGTTTCTGAAACCTCCGAGGTCACTGCACGCGCTTCAACCACGAGAAGAACCCCAGAAAGCCAAGATCACGACCGACACAATGGCCAATGTGAACATCCCCGCGCCGGTGAGGTTCGTTGCCGACAGCGATGAGGATGTGAGCCCCGAAGCAGTAAGACCTACGGGCAATAATATCAGCCACGGCGCGTCAGTTCTGCGCAAATTCATTGAAGACTTGGAAAGGTCTGAAGAAGGTGCAAAGGAAGTAGAAATGTTTCGCTACTGGATTGATTCGATGGTAGATGACGGCGTTGAGGAGGGTTTAGACATGAAAGACCAGCATAGTCGGACACTGCTTAATGTTGCAGCTATACAAGGCCTCTCGGAAACCGCGAAAAGACTCATCGAAGCCGGAGTAGCTCTGGACGCCCAAGATGAATGGGGGGATACACCCCTCATCGACGCATGTGGAGAAGGTGATGGAGAAGGTGGATACATAGAGGTCGTCAAGCTTCTTCTCGAAAAAGGGGCCAAGACCGAAATCTTTGGCAACGAAGGTGACTCGCCTCTTTACAGAGCGTGCAGGCATGGACACAGTCACATTGTTCAGTATCTCTTGGATAAGGTCAAGTGGGACCTCAACGTCGGAGAAGATAAGTACGACATGACGCCGCTGCATGCTGCTGCTGTGGCAGACAACCCCGAAATCGTGCGATATCTGAGAGACAAAGGCGCGCAGCTTGACCGCTGTGATACAGACGGTTGGACACCACTCATGACAGCAATCGACTCGAAAAGCAAAGATGCTATGGAAGAATTACTTCAAAGGCGGAACAACGAAGATATCCAGCTGGAAAAGGCAGATTTAGAAGGACGAACACCCATCTTGAGAGCAGCTGAGGATGGCTTCTGGGATGGCTTTCGTCTCTTGATGGAAGCCGGCGCAAAATGGACCGAGAAGGAGTCTGAGACTACTGAGGACGCCAAAAGAGATTCAGCGTCAAGCATGTCGAGTAAGTAAACATGAAGATTTCTACCCAACGCTTGACAAGTAGAGGAGGTCATTGGCAACTAACATTCCGAGTTTAGGAAAGAACGCTGCCTTGCATCTTGCCATTTCGGAAAACCAAGATGAAGTAGTTAGATTCCTTTTGGAACAAGGCGCCGATGTAAATTCTCGCGGGCAGGATCAGCGACAACCTCTTCACCTGGCAAGTCTGCAAGGCAACCAAGCTATTCTGGAGCTTATTTTCAACACTGGGGAATGCAATCATCTTAACAATGATCATGGTAGGGGTATGACGCCATTGCATCTAGCTTGCACCGCTGATGATGACGATGGGCATTACAACGAGGCGGTTCGACTCTTGTTAGATCGGAATCCGAGGCCCCATACGGAGATCGTCACAAATGAAATGAGAATGGCAGTGGCGCTAGCAGTTGGCTATGGCCACGATGAAAGAGTGGAGGCAATACTCGACGTCTTCGGTGAACCTAGCTCAGGAATTTCTGACACTCTTATGTGGGCAATTGGCAAAACAGAAAGACACAAGGTCGCAGCATATCTCCTCAAAAGACAGCTCAAGCTCAAGCTGCCGTTGGACAGTTTCACTACCGAGGGTTCAGAAAATTGGACTGCAATCGAATGGGCGGCTTATGTGAGAAAGCCTCAAATTCTCTGGCTCCTCATTGCCAGCTCTCCACGAAACCAGGAGACCAAGAAAGCTCTCAATTCGGCTAAGTCTATAGTTGAGGAGTCCAAGAATCACATGGTGAAGCCGCTTGCGAGCTTCAAGAATCAGAGACTTGAGCAAGGAGATGATGCAAGGAAAGGCGACAAGATTGAGAATGTCATCCTGGACATGCAAGACATCATCCACAATCCACCCACTGGGTTGATCTACACTGTTAGCGCAACCTATCCCTTGCCAACGCACCATGTAAGCTTCGCCGCTCCGCTGAGTACTTACGAAGCTGCCATGGTTCGGTTCTTCAAGAAGGAGGGGCAATTCGGAAACATCATCCAGTTTCGGACCGTCGAAGACACCGTGTACCGGGAGGGACCACAGAAGATCATGCATAAGGCAATAGTGAAGTTTGAAGAGCGTTCGCGTGGGGTTGAAAAGCGAATCGCGCAACGGCCCGTGTTCATGGACTCGGAGCCAAAGTTCACGTGGATTCACTTGCCTGCAACCAATGTAAGTGCCAATTGTCGGCCATCCGAGTAACGAATGATCTGACTGATTGTGCATAGATGGTTTGGATGGAAGTAGGTAAATATTAACTTTGGACTGGCGCCAGTTTCTGACGAGTTTACAGGATTTGGTCCAGAGAATTATGTACGACGAAAAGCAAGACGCAAGTCGCTTTAACCAAGCGAAATCTTTTTTTAAGGACAGTTGGATCGAAGTGCCGGATAGCTTCTCAGCGTCGAGGATTATGAGACCTCGGTTTGTCTCACGGGACACAATCTCGCGTGACAGAAAGAGTGACGAAAGTGAGACGGAAGACGCAGACAAAACGCCTGGGAGAAATGGTAATGACAAGGGAGAAAAAGGAATCGAGGTAGGGAGAAGTAAGGACATGAGATTGGACGATGATGAAGACGGAAAAGAATCGGTTGAGCAAAAAGTAGCGAAAGGTCAGGACAAAAACGCGACCGCAGCTCCCGCTATGTCAGCAACCGCTATCTACGTGAGTCTATACTCCTTCTGTTGCTCCTTGTTGCAACATCTCACGATAACTGAAAGATGCCATACCTTTCATACTCCTTCCAGTGTGCAGAAGACGTAGCAAAGCGTTCCCTGTCTCAGGGGCACATGGAGGAGAGTTCACTTGGAACCGAGGAATCAACAAAAGCCATGCCTCCACCGGCATTCCAAGAAGACATAGAATCCAGACACAGCAATGAACTCGCAGCCAACAGAGAACTTGAATACGAGGAGAAAACAGACGAAGACAGACAATACGAATGTGCCGCAGCTCTTGTCACAGCACGAGAGAAGTATCAAGAATTGTTGGATAAGTACAGTGAAACCATTATACATGGATCCGCCACTCTTGACGAGTCCTACTACCATTTTGGGGAGGATCCCGAGTCTTGCAAAGACAGGAGCAGGCGCAACATGTCGCAGGTGGTGACGGAAAGTTGGGTCGAAGACCGGAAGCGAAAGGAAGAAATCAAGGGACTGAATCACGGATCGAAACAGGAGAAGGTGAATGAGCAGGAGCAAGTCCAGAAACAACAGTATCATTCCCAGAAGAAGCAAGGTCCAGGCTTATACTGGCCTTTGATACGAGTCAATCAGCTTTGGATATGGACTGTTAACAACAGTATGTCACCGACAAAGCTTCGAGAAACTTGCTAACATGAAGACACTCAGAATGGTTGATATCCTCATCTTCACATCCGATCGACAGTAGTGAGATGAGCTTCTGAATGGCATACTAGACCGTCTTGAAAAGCAGGGAGAAGCTGGCGGGAGCGACTTGCAGCCTGGGTCTGCCGCTGAGATGAGCCAGTTGATTGTTGACTACTGCGTTGACTACTACGAGAGGAAGCCCAAAGCACAGAAGGATGACAAACCACAGGATTTCAAATTGCGAGATTTCCCGTCCATCCGCCAAACCTTTTCAAGATCCATCAACTCCATTGTTTGTTGAATCATTCTTTGAAGCAATCTTTCGGTCGGTTAACATGTGTTCAGGCAAGAGACGAAACAAATCTGTTCGAAAAGTTCAGCGACCTAACGAAGGAACTAAGGAAACAGTCAAAGGATAAGACCGGAGACCATAGCAAGGCTATACAACTTGTGGATCATCAGCTTGCAGAGGCTATCATTGAAGCGGAAGGCCTCTCTAGCAGGGTCAAAGACATCCTAGACGAACTCAGCATTCTTGAGGCAACGGTCCAATATCAGCAGGATGTTCAGAGAGCAATGAAGAAGCAGAATGCTCAGAATTCAAAGAGAAAGGGAAATTTCCTAGAGACTGAACTCACCGCGACTTATATCATCAATGATATCAAGGGATTGGGAAGCGTTGCTGAAAGGGTTCATGCCGCAGTAAGTGCTCCTGACTCATTGAGTCTCCGTAATTCTGACGCAGAACCACGTTAGGTCAACACTACACTCTCGCTTCAGCAGAGTGAAATCGCAAACCTACAGGCAAAACTATCAATCGAGCATGCAAAGTTCTCAATCGAGCAGGCACAGCGCTCGATTGAGCATGCAGAAATCGCAACTCAACAAGGCAGAGTACTCATGGTCTTTACTGTGGTGACCATTCTGTTCGTGCGTCATTCTCGTCCTCTGATTCTGGTCTCTCCCGTACTGACTCGTACGATGTAGTTACCACTTTCTTTTCTAACATCCCTTTTCGCTCTGGATGTTGCCTCATTTCAGCAAGCCCCACCTTGGGCATTGGGCGTCATATGTGTGTACTTCATCAATACCAAAACTAAGACCTACTAACGTGTCGCGGTCAGTCTCGGTATCAGCTGGATTCTTCATTCCCATGCTCGTTGTCGCTTTCTCATGGAAGCGAAGCAAAAAGTTCATTTCCGACCTCCTTTCTCCCGTCCTATCTCCCATCATAAGAAGGGCTATGGCACTCATATGCTACCTGCTACAGCTTGCCGATACCTCGAATCAAACTCAGTATGGCAATGGTGTGTCTGAGACAGTCCCTTCGCGCACCGAAAGTTCTTTTCGGGGATCGCCTCGACGAAGTGCCATGTCCATTGGTGCTCTCCAGGTCTCAAGGCGGTCAAACGATGCTGCTCATGATGTAGAGAAAGGCCCGAGCGGAGGCAGCGATCCGACAAACCAGTCAAACGATCACGAATTGTAGACTGGTACCATTATCAGTCAATATCAGGTAGTATTTCTAGTTAGGGTGGCTTCAGTCTGAATTGACAGTTATCTCTTTTTGTGCAAGAATATCGCAGCAGTCGAAGCTAGACTTGCCCTTCAGTCACGGCTATACCGAACTGATGTATCTGTAACCCTGCCTTGGCATAAGATGACATCATTCCAGCTATTCTGTCATAAGAAATGGTTGTAATATTATCTGCTTGACCTCCATGCCGGCCTTGGCTAGAAGCTGGGAGGTAAAGAGCTGGCGCCAAACTAGCCAGCACAGCACGGGACCATCAGTGGCATCGTATATGATGTCAACGTCGTTTCGAAGAAGTTTCTCTGGAAGGCCAATAGTTCTCAAAATGTTAGACAGGCTTGTGCACGACAGCAAGAGGGCAATTTCACGGTGTTAAATACTTCCACTCAGTTGATGGAGTCAACGTCTGGAGCTTTGCAGCCGCACGGTCAAGTAGTGGACTGATTTTTAACTTAATTAGATGGACATGAACTCCATCGCAGTCTTCGAGGCCATTTCTAAGCTACCTCAAACAGCTCTGCTATCAACACCCCGACTCCTCGCCCTCCTCAACCTCCAATCCTCCTCCTCATCCTCCAACAGCCTCTGCCCAGGCAACCTCACCGCGCGATCCAACGCCACCGGCAACCCCCTATGCCTTCCCCTCAACATAACAAGGCACAGCACAAGCTTACTCCCCGCATGCCACCCGCCCGCAAAGCTCATCGCATCATCCGGCAACCCAACCGATATCCCCACACACCCATACGCCGAGACAACCTCAAACACAACGTTAAACACCGAAAAGTGCACCGGGTCCTCCAGAAAGTGCGACGTCTCGATGATCACAATCAGCAGCACCGCGAGCGTCAGAAGCCAGAGGTCGTGCGCCAGCTGCCCGCGGATCTGCTGGCTGACGAAGCTCGTCCGGGACTCGTACCCGTTGGGGCCAGCGGCGGGGCGTGCGGCGCCGACGCCGGCGAAGCTGAGGTTCTGGCGGAAGAAGTCGGCGACGATGTTGCTGCCGGCGGTGTGGTGGTTTTCCTCGGATGGGATGAAGGGGTTGAGGTGTTGTTCTTCGTCGTCGGCGTAGATCCCGAGGGAGCGTTCTTCGTAGACGTTGGAGTGGCGCATTGTTATCACGACGGGGTAGACGGAGATGTACATCATGATGACGTACAGGACCTGGAGGCCGGGGTAGGCGGAGGAGATTGGGATGAGGTAGAAGCCGCCGGAGCGAACGGCTGAGATGTGTCAGTCTAGATCTGAAGAAGTTTTAGTTGGAGATAGCTTACCAAGTGCTTGGAACAACCCATCCAGGACCCTCGCACCTACCGGAATGGCCTCAATAACTGGGTTGCCAATGTTCAGCACCTCGAACGCAACCCAATCGATGCCGTTGATCAGCACAACCATGAAGAAGAGCCACCACGTCGGCCTTGAAGGAAACAAGTTCGTGTACACCCTCCTCGGGTACTTCAAGATGAACTCCAGCGTACTCTTCAACTCCCCACACGCCCCCTCTGCCGTTGTAAGTCTCAACCCCTTCAACGCCAACCAGAAGATCAGCCTCAAAAACAGGGGATACGCCGTATTACCCGCCAAGATAAGCAATCCCATCGTAATAAGCACAAAATACGCCTGCTGGAACGGCACAACATTCGCATCAAGCAGCGACATGCCCGAGTTATTAAAAGCCGATATCGCGAAGAAAATCCCCGCCCACCACGGATTCGCACCGTTCGACGTCGCCGTCGTCGGCATATTATTCGCGATCCACGCGCCTAGCGCCACGGCCCCGAGGACCTGCCAGAGGATGGAATACAGCGGGACGACGACCGATAACAGGCGAAGCGCGCGGTACTCGTGGCCGCCAAGGCGAGATCGCTCAGCGGCGGTGAGGGAGTGAAACTGCGCGTTGCGGCCTTCTTTCGACGCGCTCAAGATGGAGAGCCAGGGCCGCGAGGGCTTCGTCTTGCTCGAGACAGAAGCCGTCGATCGGCGGGTGATGTTCTCAGCCTCCCAGGTAACATGGTTCTCCACAGCCCTCACACGCGTCGACACCCCCTCACCCACAACACCAGCACCGCTCGCCTCGGCCGCTTTCTTCCCCGGCCCATGAGCGATGGGCAAACAGCCCTCCCCCTCCCTCATCTGGTCCCTCTCCCGCTCAGCCTCCACGATCTCGCGGAACCGCTTCTCAAAGACGTGCTTGCGCGCGAGCACGGTCCAGATGGACACCCATATCGTGCTCCCGACGACGATGAGCAGCCACAGCAGGACCTGCTGCCAGACGGTCATCTGGCTGAGGTTGACCGTGTTCAGCCCGGCCTCCGTGATGGCGGAGACGACGAGGAACAGCGCGTCGACGTAGCTGATGCTCCCGCGCGGGTGCGAGGAGGCGTAGAAGATGGCCGAGGCGAGGAGGGAGGTGCCGATGAAGTAGGCGTAGTGCAGCGTGATGAAGTTCAGCGGCGGGAGGAATGAGCGGATGCCGCCGCTGCCGCTGCTTGGGGGGCTTCGAGGTGTCGGCGCATCGTGGGCTTCATCTGAGGTGCCGTTCTCGTCGCCGTGTGGGTGTCGCGACGGATTCGTCATGGTGAGGGTGAGAGTGAGACCCTGGTCCAGCCCTACGTCCGCCCAGCCGGCAATTTTAGACTTTTGACGCCGCCAAGCGCGTTGCGATCTAGCCAAGCAACAAGAGAGATCTCGCAGATCTGCGCGTCAAGTTCTCTCGTGCTGCCGCTGCCATAAAAAGAAAAGCGGACGTCTTCTACAACAGACCGGTCAGAGGTGCATCCCTCCTCTGTTTTTGTTGTTAAATTTACTCCTTTCCCTCCCACATAACGCTTTAACCTCACAAATTGTCGGTGAGAGCCAAAGCCTTCGCAGGGGTCATCAGGGTGCCACAATAGACAGACTCTCCCGAGTCATTCGTCCAAACAAATTACACGTGCGGGAGCAGCGCGCTAAGAAAGGGGACGCCGTCTGCTAAAAGCCGGGTCTCTTTCATCTCGCTTGGCGGGCGCCCCGCTGAAAGTTTGTTTATTGCCTTCACCGATGGCGCGGGGTGGGTGTTGACCGAGCCTCACCGACGACCGACTTCAGTCCTGTCGTTGATGATGGATGATGAATGCCATTGTGCAACTCAAAACACTGATCACTTCGATCGATGGAATTTCTTATCGCCGACCAAGTCCGATTGAAGACTTCAACCGCGCCGTTTATCCGGAAAGCACCCCGCTGTGAAGCTCTGAAGCCGACTTGAAACAGGCCGACCCCTGAGCCGAACAAGCGAACCGCGACGACTCCCAATCAGTCATCCTCACGATCAAGCATCAGATTCATATCACTTCACAGGCAAATTCACAAAAGACGCGGAAAAGATTCCGGGGCAAACCAATTGATTCAAACACCCTACTCAAGAACACCCAGCCACCCGTCGCCAAAAGACACCCAAAGCCCAGCCCAGTAAAGATGAACCAAGCTCCTTCGTCCTAGCCTTTTTCTCGTCTCGCCAGATCAGATAGATAATGATACAAAATCCATGCCATGCTCCAGGAGTCATTCATAAAACACCATGGGAATAATAGAAACAATAGGAAAACAAAGCAAACCACCACCCCTCTAGACATGAACCCTGAGAGATTCCATTTTTTGTGACAACATCATGAGACACATCGCTTAGAAGCCGAGGAGGCCGTTGAAGGTAGTCGCAACAGCCTCGCTCTTGTCGCCCGAAGCCAGGATCTGCGCCTTGGCGTCGAGGCACTGCTGGTGGGCCGCGTCGTTGGCCTCGCAGACGTTGATGAGCTGGTCGCAGATTCGGTTGGTGATGATGTTGGGGTTGAGGGCGTCCTGCTGGCCCTGGGCGACGAGGGGGTCGGTGGGCAGGAAGGTGCCCTCGGTGGCCTTGCGGCCGGCGCGGCCGAGCTGGAAGTCCATGGTGGGCGTGCACTTGCCAAAGTCCGCGGCGCCGGTGGCGGCTCCTCCGGTGTTGGCGTTGCCGTTGTTGCCAGTGTTGCCGGTGTTGGCGTTGTTGTTTCCAGTGTTGGCGTTGTTGTTGTTGTTGCCGGCGTTCGCGGTGTTGTTGCTGGCGTTGCCGGTGTTGCCAGTGTTGGCGGAGTTGTCAGCGTTGCCTGTGTTTCCGCAGTCAACGTTGTCGTTGGTGTTGCCAGTGTTCGCGTTGTTGTTTCCAGTGTTGGCGTTGTTGTTTCCGGTGTTGGCATTGTTGTTGTTCTGGTTGTTGTTGTTGTTGTTGGCATTGCCGTTGTTGGCGTTGTTGTTACCAGCACCGGCATTACCACCAGCAGCGCCCGCAGTCGTAAAGTTCGAGAAGCCCTGCGCCTTCATGACATCCGCAACCGACAGACCCGTAGCGTCAAACGGCGTCGTCTTGGAAGTAGCCGAGTTGGCGTTCTCGGTGTCGGAGCCGGTAACAGCGGGATCGACGAGGGGCACGATGCCGCGGAGCGCCTCAGTGGCAGGCAGCGAGGCGTCGCCGCAGATGTTGGGCACGCTGACGACGAAGGGGTTGAAGTTCTGCTCGGCGGCGACGAGGCCCTTGGCGGCGTCGAGGACCTCGGCGCTGTCGCCGAGCTGCGTGACGATCTTGTCGGCGAGGGTGAGCTTGTCGCAGGGGTTGGCGGCGGCGAGGAGCACGCCGGGGATGCCGCCGGCGAGGGTGGCGGCCTCGCCCGGGTTGCCGACGTTCTGGAGGGAGGAGACGGCGGAGACGGGGGTCTGTTCCTGGCCGAAGCGGGCCTCGGCGACCGCCAGGAGGGCGGAGAGGAGGAGGGTCTTGCTGGAGTAAGACATTTTGAGTTTGTTTGTGTTGGTGTTGGGTGTTTTGATAACGGAAGACCGGATGATCGAAAGAATCGAAGATAGCTTTAGAAGTTACTTTTTAGTGGAAAAAAGATTGGAAAGGACCGGCTAGCGGTTTGTAGTTGGATTGTCAGACAAGAAAGAGTGTC